TATATATATATATATACACACACACACACACACACACACACATATCCACACACATACATTTACAATGAAACCTGAAAATCTAAAAATAAAAGCTAATTCAAAATAAAAAATAGAATATAAATAATACTAAAATAACAATATTTCTGATATTTCTGTCTTTCTTTTTGGTTTAGTTTTTCATTTTGTGGATATTTAATGACCAGGTTGTTCTTAGCCCTATTCGGACCAATAGATCATCACTGCTGGTTCAAAACAAACTTTAAATGTGTTATAGGCTAGTTTATATATATGGACACATTCCAAATCAGATTAGCATCTCTTCACAAAATGACTTGAAAGCATAACAATTAGGCTAAACTAAAATGAATGAAAATGTATGAACTTAATGAATTATGTGGTGGTGTTTGAGACATCACTGGTCATTTAATGTTTCTATAAAAAAAAAGAACTAACAGTAATACTAATAAAATGGGAATAATACTAAAGCTCTATTCAGACAGTAATTGTTTCTCATGTGGACGTCTGTAAAAATACATTTACATGGCACCTGAGTGATAAAACTTATGGATTCAGATGGCGATTCATTCACAGTGGAGAAGCCAGTTCTGTGATCCTATGAACACGCATGATTGTCTACTGTAAATAAAATGTCATATTCTTGGAATAAGAATAAATTAATATTTAATAATATCCTATTTATTATTTGATTATTTAAATCTGCTATTTAAAAAATGGGAAACAGACGCACTATAGTTTAAATGGTTTTTTATCTTGCATTTTATCTCTCAAAATGATGGATGTCATTAAAAATGTGGAGATTAGCAGAAATAAGTTAATGCAACTCTTACATAAGGTAAACATAAAGCTGCTTGGTTTATATTTTTATGTATGTATTTGTAGATTTGTAATACAAATTTTTAAATTGTATTGCATACCTGTTGCTACCATAATAATGTTTCAAAATGTTCAAATGTTTACGTGCTTTTCTTGTCTTTCTTCTTTTTGTTCGTAACAGCTCCCACTCGCTGTGGTGGAGCAGTTATGACATATTGTTCTTGTAAATACTTTCCAGCATTTCAGTATTTTTGTTTCAGTAATAAATATGCATGCAAATTACAGCAAAGTGCAAGAGTTACCGTATGGTGTTCGGCAGTGGTCAAAAAGGATTTAAACATTGAATTTTGAATCGATTTCTTCTTGTAAACTCAGAGACGTGGATTTGGACGGCAATTAAATTACCACACGACCTTGGTGTTTGTCAAAAAACAGTAGGTAATTCGGCCGTGGATTTTTATGTGGGTGGTGGGAGAAAAACACTGACATATGGATTCAGACGGCAATAAAATCACTGACTAAAGGCCTGTTCACACCAAGGACGATAACTATAAAGATAACGATATAGTTCTAAAAATCGTTCTCAGTATTAAAGAACAGCAGAGTCCACACCACAGCTATAATGATAAAGGCACAGAGAAACAATATCGTTGGAATCACTTTCAGAACAGTTTTTTTCAAGCTGATGAACAATAAAAATTTTGACAGCCAATCAGAATCAGTCCTGCTATGATGAGCTCGAGAATTTAATGCGGCAGACGAGCGTGCGCTTGGAATAAACAGACGATATCGTCCGCTGGTGTGGACGCTAATATAGTTATCTTTATAGTTATCTTGGTGTGAACAGGCCTTAACCCCTGTAAATGTTGAAAATCACTTATCCCCATGAGAAACAATTACTGTCCGAATCGGGCTATTGTTATGGAAACTAAAACTAAAACATTTTTTAAAATGTTACTTGGAAAAACAAATAAACGTTACCTGAAATAAAATAAAATTCCAGCTAATTTTTCATTTTCATGATGTACTAAAATAACTAAAACTGAAATAAAAATGAATAAAAACTACAGTACATAGACATATATTTTTTTAAAAACTCATAAAAATGATAAAAACACAACAGAATCACTACAACTTTAACTAATTAAAATGAAAATAGCAAATAGAAAACCAAAAACTATTTCAAAATATTGATAAAAACTATAACAGTATCTCAATGATACTAAAATAACACCGTTAATGAAACATATTCCCATTTCTATAAATGTTTGTGGTAGGAATAACATCCTCACTGAGTAAAACAACAACAACTCGTATCACAAAAGAAAATTAGATGCTGTAGAACTAGGTCACTGCCATTATCAGCAATGAATCCTTACACATGCTGAGCTGATACGACACACATTCAGTTCCTATGATCACACTGCACAGCTGCTGCAGTCACAATCTGATGGTGTTTACAAACACCATTCCTTATTAGACTGCTGTGAATATAACCGTCACATCAAAGCACATGATGTGCAAAGATGCTGAATTACAAACACAGACTGCATCTGAGAATCACACACACACTCACACACCCACACATACTTATATATGTGGTTTACGGGAACTCACCATAGGCATAATGGTTTTTATACAACTGTACAACTGTTTTGTATCCCATTTGGTCCCCATAACATAGGGAATACCAGGTACACACACACTAACACACACACTCACTTAAGCGCAAGCTTGTCCACGTCGTCCTCTTCCACGTCAAACTGTCGTTTGGTGTAGCTCAGCGGTTTTGTCACCTGTGAGATGAAACACTGATCACTACATGAGCAGATATTTATAACATGAGGGCTGGGCGATTTTTCATATTCATTTCAAATTAATTCAAATGTACGTTTTGTCACAATTTTATTTTATTTTTAATTGAGGAATTGCAGTTTTTGAATCAAATATTAGCAAATGTTACAATCAGACAGGGGTACGTTTCAAAAAACCATTGTTAGCTAACTATGGCCGTTAGTTCCATTGAACTCTATTGGTAACAACGGAACTTGCGACCATAGTCGCTTTTGGGAAATGCACCCCAGGTTGACAATACGCCAAAGCTAAAAGTTGATGTGAGTGCCTGACTGTGCAGCTGATGAAGCGCTCCCTGTGATGCGCTCCATGAAGGAGTATAAGATCGCTAGTCCTAGTGGCGATTCACACAGAATGAGTTTGTGCTGAAAAACACGAGACACCACAGTGGAACAGGAAAAACGCAAGGTTATGAGATGCGAGTTGAACTTCTTTTATCTAAAGAATAAACTAAATCAACTAAATAATGGATTTTCAAAAGTATGTGAAATATTTAAAGTTTGCAGCACAGAATCTTTAAAATACGTCCGAGAGTTTTACACACCTGTCTGTTATTGTGGCGACATTTCCACACCCCGAAACGTGATGCTGAAACGAAACGAACTGTGATTGGTTGTTTGACATGTCGATCAAACGGCCTCATGGGCGGGCTTTGGCCAATGAAAGCTGCCATGTATTCCAGACCTTCAGCCGTTAGTCTGGAGGCCTGGCTAAGCGAGACTAGTATCAATGATACCAATACTGATTTCTCTATTAAATAACCCCCCCCCCAATATTTGACCATTGACTATAGCCATTCAACATTACAGTATAACTTAGAGCTATCAATTTTAACATTTATTAGACTTAAAAAAATAACTTCTAATTTAAGTGAACTTAAAACAATCTTCACATAAACCTATTATAATAAATGAAATATTTACCTGTGCTCTTCAGCAGAAATATACAGAAATTGAAATTTATGTTATCAAACACTAAATTCTAAATTAAAGTTAAATCGGGTGTGTTAGATGAGTGAGACAGTGCTGAGCTGCTCCGGGACAGTTTTGAAAACCATTTCAGAGACATGTTTTTAAATGTGACTCATATAAAATATATTACATGCATGCACAGTTTTAAGGCAGCTTTAAACTTTTTTTTTTTTTGCCATTTCACCCAGTGCAATGAGTTTCTGTTTGAATAAACCATCTGAATCACAACAAACCGCTTGACTAATCAAGTTAGACATGGTAAAATGACAAGGAGGGTCAGTTAAACAGACACGTTTCTATAAATACAGACGGATCCTCCAGAGACACACATCCTGTTTGATCATGAGTGAACAATGCACGTCTGATGAGGATGTTCATTTCACACTGAGCTGCTGATGATGATGATGAAGATGTGTGTCCAGTGTGGGTGGGAAAGACTGCGGCTGCGAGGGCTGCATGATAAATGGAGCGGATTGTGTGACTCACAATGAATCACACTCTTGTCTCGTTGTCCTTGTGTGTGTGTGTGTGTGTGTGTGTGTGTGTGTGTGAGAGAGACTCATGCAGTCCAGAAACAGAGGATCCAGCTGTCACATCTAATAACACGAACACAAAACCCTCAGGAAACACACAGATCACTGCGCAGGGTGTGGACACTCTCACCTTTACTGCGGTAAACCACAGCAGTGTTTCCCACAGACTTACACTCTATGTGTGGCGGCACTTCCCCTGAGGGAAATATGTATATATCGGTTCACATTTACAACTCTGCTCTGTGTGTTTGCTGCGTAAAAACATCAGTGGGTTTTCGCGTTGGTCTGAATGAAAACAGCAGACGGGCTGATTGAAAATGCAAATTCATTCTCTGCCAGCAACTTCAAAGCAGCAAGGTTAGTAGAGAAGACCATCACTACTATACTGCTGCATTATTTAGAGGACAGATCTGCCCGGCTGCCCGTGAATGTTGTGTGTTGTAGGGTGTGGAAAGTGTTAAAGTGAAAAACCACGAGTGTTTGTTTTAACTATAAACACCTGAAAGCTCAGATATGATCTATTTCCATATTAAATGCTTCCAACTGAACCAGAATAAACATCATGAACAGCAGATGATTCTTATGACGTCTCTCCTCGTGAACACCTCATCACTCTCAAGACTTCATTTTGAGTTTACTGAAATTTAAATATTATGCTTTCACTGTCTATCTTCTTATCAAATTCTTTGTGTGCACATGTTTGATCTTCCTGACGTCATATTTATTTGAAACAAGTATCAGTGTTATTTTAGTATCAAGATACTATTATAGTTTTATTCATATTTAGATTTTTAATAGTTAGATTTTAATAGTTTGATTTTGAATAAATAGTATAAATTGAATAAAAATATATATTTTTAGATTTTATATTTAATACTTGTTAAAGTTAATTTTGTTTTGTTTTGTTTATCCTTTAGATCTTTCTTTCAAAAAATTCACAAAATTCTAACCTTTCATTATCCCCGAGTTTTATCCTATAATGCCAAAATCAACACAGAAATGTGTCACTGTGCACAAAATGAAGCTGAAGAGAAGAGAAGAGAAGAGAAGAGAAGAGAAGAGAAGAGAAACCAACATGGAGCTGGGAATCTGAAGGATCTGGAGTAATTCTGTATGGATGAATAGTCTCTGATCTCATTATAGGAGAAGGCTGCTATCTTGGGAAAAGGACGTTGCTATAATTGGGTGCCAATAATTGTGGCCAACGTGAACTAGAGAAAAACATTTATTTCATAGTGAGGTGTGC